GCAGAGCCCTGCCATCAGCAGGATCTACACGGTGGGGCGCAGCTTCGAGGGCCGGGAGCTCCTGGTCATCGAACTGTCCGACAACCCCGGGATCCATGAGCCCGGTAAGTACGCTGCTTGCTGCGGTGCCCCGGGGACGGAAAGGAGGAGAGATGGGCCCGGTGCCGATTCCCGGTGGAGGATGCCTGAATGGAAGGTGGGAAGTGGAAATGGAACCGAGAGCCCAGCCTCTTGCACATCGTTCATATCCCCAACCCAAGGGAAGCTGGAGCGATGGGGGCAGGAGTAACGGGCAAGCAAATCCCAGAGCTCGTTCCCGGGGTGTTCTTCCTCACAGATGGTCAAACTCTAAATAGAATGAAATTGTGAGTTCTCAGGAATGAAAACACCTTCCCCGCAGACACGAGTGGAAAATAAGGTGCAGAAGGCGGGGTCTCAGAGGAGACTGGGAGAGTCGTTTATCATTTGTTTGAGAATTTCCAAAGAATCAGCTTATTGGGCGCTGCAGGCTCTGCGCACCCACCTCTACCTATGTGTGAGCATTAGGTACACTCCCGGCTGTGGATACTGGCAAATTTTAAAAGGATATTGATGATCTAGGTGTCGTGTGCATGCATGTAGCTCTTCCTACCAGGGTGGAAAGGGGGGTCTCTAACAGGCATACAAATTCTGAAACTGCAGAGGGCCTTACTAAGAGAAAATAGGACATTGCATTTTTTTGCCCCCTCTGCTTTAGCCTCTCTGAGACGAACAGTTCATGACCGGATTTTATCTCCATCATGTTAGGCACTTTCCTTCGATGTATGTTACAGCACGTTTTAATTTATGTTGAAGGCTGTGGGTTTAGTATTATAAGGACATTTTAAGCAATGTTTTGGGATCTTTTGGGTTATGCTGTTCTGAAAAGATGTAGGCCTGAGCTTTCTGTTGATAATAAAGGCCCGCTAAAGCAATCTGAGCATTAAAATCAGTATGGAATGCCTTTTATTTATTTATTTTTTAATGGCGAAGAAAACACAAAAGCTAGACTAAAAAATTCTCAATGCAGGACGTGAAAAGTCTCCCTTTCTCCATCTGCCCCGCGCATTTTCCTTCTCCCTGGGTCTCTTGATCACTTAGCTTGGCCTTGAATTTGAAATGTGCTTGAGGATGGCCTTGAACTCCTTCTGATCCAAATCCTAATGGGATTATGGGTGTTTCCCACCACTCCTGATTTTTTCCCCTCTTTCTCCTGTGTGTGTGTGTGTGTGTGTGTGTGTGTGTGTGTGTGTTTTTGGGATGCAAAATATAAAGGCTGAATAAGCCTCTCTCGCCGACCCATGCATTCAGCTGCCTGCATATTTTTCCCAGCTGCCAGCAGTTTACCCATAGTCTATAAGAAGCAACTGAGAAGGGTTACAATAGGCGATAACAGAGATACCTTGGCCTTTAAATGTGGAGTGTGTGCGGTGACCAATAGTAAGCCTTTAGAAAACATTCCTTGCCTACCAATAAGGTAGAAGAAAGGGTGTGAATGAATCTGCTGTGAAACCCCTGAAATCAGCAACCGTGCACAAAGGGATGCAGCTCAGTTCGTCGTGTAAATCAGAAACTTGACAGCTAGTGTTTGCACAGCTATTGGAAAAATAAAGAAAACATGCTTTCGTGAAGATTCATTTTTCAACCAAGTGGCACAGCCAAAGCTGGCCCCTTCTGACAGTTAGGTGACTGTGCTGCTTACCCACAACCCTCTGTTCGGCTCCCTAACTGATTATTCCGGTGGGTCTCTTCAATTATTCAGAGAGATTTTATGAAACCTACGGTTTAACGCTATGTTGCCTTGCTTCAAATGTAGAGACAAAATGATAGAATGATATTATTGCAAGAATATGATAGGTTCTGCAAGTGAAAACAACGATTTTGTTTTGAATATTTGGAACGGATAGTATATTAGGATCTGCAAATCAGGTTGGAAAATGATCATTTTAAAAAAAATGTCCTTCAAATTCTTTTAGGTTAAACAAATAAAAAAAGGAATAACTTTTGAGGTAGAAATGGGTTCATTCCGTGTTTTTTATTTTTATTTTTTAAATCTTACACCCCAGGGTGAGCTAAGTTCAATGAATTATACACAAGGGTGGTTCTTGCCCTCAGGGGGATGTTGAATTGGATATTTGGCATAAAGTTATGGAGCAATTTTTGACTGGTGAGACACGGAGAATACTAGGGTATCATGGGTAAGGTGGCCTAAAGAGTGAGTGACAGAAGGCAAGAAATGAACAAATTATTGAAATTTATAAGTTCTAATATTTCTCAGATCTCTTTTGCTTTTTGTGTGTTTTTTTTTTTCCTTTGTTTTTTGATACAGGGTTTCTCTGTATAGTTCTGCTGTCCTGGAACTTGCTCTGTAGACCAGGCTGGCCTTGAACTCACAGAGATCCACCTGTCTCTGCCTCTGTTAAAGTTGTGGGCCACCACCACCCGATGGTCAGACCTCTTTTGAAGGAGGTTCTCAAAAGTACATTTTGAGTTGTTTGAAATATTACTCATTTAAAAGCTTTATTATTTATTTTTCTGTGTGTGTATGTGCAGGTGTGAATGCATGTCTCTGGGTATGGGTGGAGGTCAAAGGACAACTTTCAGAAGTTGGTTCTTGCCTCTACCACGTAGGGCCTGGGAATAAAGGTAGGTTGTCAGGCTTGGCAACAGTTGCTTTACTCCACATCAGCTCTGACGTAACACTGACTTGGCTGAAAACTTCCATGTCTTCTTAAATTATTCATTTCATTTTTTAGAATGAAAGAATAGTCAAGTTATTTTTTTCTTGCTATAAACAGTTTTAGAGGTAGCTGAGTGGCAGAACACCCACTTAGCACATTGTGTTGGATCCCCAATACAGAAAAAAAAATGTGATTATTTCTAAGGATTTAGTCCAGGTAGTGGAGCCCTAACCAAAGCGACAGCAACAATGGGAAGTTTTCTTTGGTTGGATTAGCACTTTATCGGCAGATACTTGTTGAAACCCACAGGTTTCCTCTTGGGCAGAAGGAAGCAATCTTTGTATTTGTTTGGTACAGTCTGTGCCTGTTGCTGAGTTTTCTTGTCCCATCAGGTCCCACCACCCTTCAGCCCCCAAATGAACACACAGAGATGTATATTAATTATTAAACTGTTGGCCAATGACTAGGGCTTCTTACTGCCTAGCTCTGTCTTAATTATTAACCCATAACTACTAATCTATGTATTTCTACATGGCCTACATCTTACCGGAGAATGCTTGGCACATTCTATCCTCCTGGTCCCTCCAAAAGTTCTCCTTCTGGTGCTTCTCTGCATACCTTTCCCAGAATTCTGTTAGTCTCCTCATCCCACCTGTCTTCCTGCCTCTATCAGCCAAACAGTGTTTTATTCATCAATCATTATATATATACAGAAGGACATCCCCCATCATGTGAAGTGAACTGAACTTATCTCCTCCAAATGCTGCCCTTAATTATTTGCTGTTTGAACTCATCAAAAGGGAAAGGAGGCCAGGGAGTTGTCTTTGGGGAGATGGGTTCCATCAGTGAAGTGCTTGTCACCCAAGGTGAAGGCCAGAATGGGATCCCCCAGAACTCATGAAAGAGCTGAGCAGACAGCCCTTGTCACCTCAGTGCGGCAATACACTCAGGGGACCTTAGGAGCTTGCTGGCCAGCCAATCCAACTGAACCACCAAGCTCCAAGTTCAGTAAGTTCACCCTGTTTCAAAGAGTAAGGTGGAGAGTGACTGAGGAAGGTACCAATGTTCACTTTGTACCCTCCCACTTGCATTCAAGCAAGCAAGAAAACACACATACACACGTTCATGCATGCATGTACACTAAGGAAACCCCATTTTGAAATCATCAGTGAAAAATATCTATGCATATTCTGTCATGTTCAATGGGAATCAGTTGATTTATGACTGATTAAAACATGTATTAAAAACCTTTATTAATTTGAATCTAAGTACTAGGATTGAAACGCTCAGGCCATTCTTTCCAGGGGTAAAAACCCATTTGTTTGGAGCAGTAATTGTTTAACATGCAACTTGACCTTGCTTTTGGGAAGTCCACCTGATTCATAGATGAAATGCCATTCCTGAGAGCATGAGTTTTCTCTCTCACAGGCTGGAATGATGATTTTGGACCTATTCCCCTCAAATCTGCAAAAATTTAAAGTTCATGAGTGCCAGTATGTATTTGCCAAATATTACGATGAAACATGTTTAAAGTGGGAAATTATACCAATGTGTTACGCTGAAAAAATACCTGCAGAGCTTGAAAACAACACAAACAAACACATAGAGATTTTGATGAAGTGTTTTTTGTGTATGAAATAGTGTGAACTGATTACAACCAAGCAGGAACTGTCAGGGAAGATAGATGTTAGATTCTGGAAAAGAATCTGAACCAAACCACACAAGGTCAAGAGTTATTTTCAGACTGGATGAGTCAACAGGGCTTTTGCCAGAAGTTACATTCTTGATTGACTTGTGATTGGCCAGTGGAAGGTAGGAGAGGCTAATCTGGCCTATAACCTTATAGTCTATGCCCAGACTGCCCAGGCTTGGGATAGAATCTAGGGCTGGTGCATGCTGGGCCGGGATATCCACCACCCCAAAGAGACAGCTTTTTATGGAAAGTGACATGAGAAGTAGTAAAGAATCATCTCTACCACGCACCACATTGGTTGACCTAAGGAATAAAAAGTCCTTGCACTTTACACTCACGTTCTTTGGAAATATATTAAGAAATATGGAGGAGCCTTAGGAAGAGAAACATGTCACCCTAGAAATTCCTAAGTTCATTCAATGCAGCATTGATGCATAGTTTCATAGGCATTAGATAAATAGGAAAAACAGGTTTGCTCATTTAAACAGTTCTCAGCATCATTAATATGTGAATCCCTAGATTAGCTGTATGCAATACAAGAAGGCCATCCCCCCACCACACACACACACTTCAGCAGTACTGGGGAATGAATCTAGAGCCTTCAACATGCTATAAACATTATTTCACTGAGTTCTATCTCCCCAGCCCTGTCGAGTGCATAAATACTGTATTGGCATTCATTATCTTATTATTAAGGATTTATTTTATAAGT